TGCACCCAGAGGTGCAGGGAAGGGGACAATTTTCCTGCTGTTCTACTCTTCTGACGGCAAGTTTAGACCTAGTAACTCCACCCCTAAGACCCACTCTCCCACCATAATTTACTAACTCTTAGGGTATTTCTTCGCATGTCACAGGTTCTCCTCGTTGGGCCCCACCTCCCTCCTCATTGAGCAAATGCATCCCACAAATGGTCTTGTAACTATATTGCATATAATTTCAAATAATCAGGTAGACCTCAATTCAGGGGAGTCATTCCATTGGAATTAACAACTGATAACATCTGGGAAGGCTGCTGACACACTGAACATCCATCATGCATTAACTGAACACAAGCTGCCTTCTGCAAACTTCTGGTCAAAGTTTATAGTTATAGTTGATCAATACACGCTGGATCCCTCTTTCTAAGCGGTCCAGGCCTCCTGCCCAATAGGCAACTCATTGAGTTGATGACCACAGCTCTGCTGGGTCATCAGTAGTTAAGAAAATTCCAGGTCCCAAGCCTCATCCTCTGCTAGTAAAACTCAATCACTACTGGTCAGTGACACCCTCCACATCAGTCTCAAGCTAGTGAATTTTTTCCCAGCTTTTCAAAATTCCAGTCACCGTGAATGGCGCCATTCAGGTAATAACTTCCAGGGGTCTCCAACTCTGGCCATTATCAGTAGTCTGCATTTTAATTAATGGCCTCATCACTGCTTCTGCATTCTCAGGATAAAATATCTCCCAACTCATTTTAAACTACTTAATTGGCATACAGGTTTTGAATCCAGCCTCCGTTTGTCAGCTGATTTATCAACGCTTGAAAATTTTTGTTCACTATCTGAAACAGAATCAAGGTCTGTCCTACCTGGAGCTCCTTGTCATCTCCCTTCCTCTAATTTGGACTGAAAAATTTAATCTGTCCAATGTGTATGACAGAGCCACAGGGAGTTGCTGAGTGGTATTAAGTGGTATTACATTCAGCGATTAGTTTGCTCTGCTGGGTTTTTATTTGTTCTTGCAAGGATTTAACATTTTATCAGGTATGTCCCCTTCCAGGCCTTCACTGATGCTGCTCCCAGCGCAGCATACACTATGGCTTTTCCTTTTCCTGGTCACACTCTTCATTCTTTCACATGTGCTGTAATCCTATCTGCCACAGCATTTGGATCATGTCTAATAATATCACAGAATCATATCATAAAGCCATAGAATGGCCTGGGTTGAAAAGGACCACAATGATCACCTAGTTTCAATCCCTCTACTACATGCAGAGTCACCAATCACCAGACCAGGCGGCCCACAGCCACATCCAGCCTGACCTTGAATATAAATATGAGCCCATGCTATTCCTACGGAGGTGAGGCAAATGTTATATTACTTAAATTTTTCAAAAACAGGGAGCAGTTAAGCACCACCATTTCCTGGTCAGTCACAGCTTGCCACTGCCTGTACCTTTCCCAGCTTATAGCTGAGAGGCCAATTCCCAGCTCTCTTCACTCACACCTACTGGGCAGAGTGTTTGTGCTAAGTGATACCTTTCAACACTGAGGGGATCCTGTCCGTGACACCAATTAATGATTAATTATTCTCAGTTATCACCTACAGGGTCATTATACCTTTCTCAGTAAACTTAAAACTTCCCATTCTCTTTTTCTCCAAAAATATCTTTAATTCTTGTTGTCAGCTTGCCCTGTTGTTGTCAGAACCCTTGTTCTGGCAGCTGTTTATGATGAATATGTGACAGAATCACACAATCACCAAGGTTGGAAATGACCTACAAGATCATCCAGTCCAACCATCCACCTATCACCAACAGTTCTCACTAAACCATGTCCCTCAACAGAATGTCCGAACATTCCTTGAACACCTCCAGGTCGGTGACTCCACCACCTCCCTGGGCAGCCCATTCCAGTGGCTGACCACTCTTTCACAGAAGTAGTATTTCCTAACTTCCAGCCTAAATCTCCTCTGGCGCAGCTTGAAGCCATTCCCTCTAGTCCTATCACCAGTTACACGAGAGAAGAGGGCAACCCTCAGCTCACTACAGCTTCCCTTCAGGAAGTTATAGAGAGCAATAAGGTCTCCCCTGAGCCTCCTCTTCTCCAGAACGAACATTCCTAGCTCCCTCAGCTGCTCCTCATAAGGCCTGTGCTCCAGACCCCTCACCAGCTTTGTTGCCCTTCTTTGAACCCCTTCCAGGGCCTCAATGTCTTTCTTGCAGTGAGGGGCCCAAACCTGGACACAGTACTCGAGGTGCGGCCTCACCAGAGCTGAGTACAGGGGGACAATCACTGCTCTGCTCCTGCTGGCAACACCATTTCTGATGCAAGTCAGGATGCCACTGGCTTTCTTGGCCACCCGGGCACACTGCTGGCTCATGTTCAGCTGAGCATCAATCAATACCTAAGGGCCATTTCCTCTACACAGTCTTACAGCCACTCTGCACCCCAAGCCGTGCAGGGGGCTGTCGTAGCCAAAGTGGCATTTGGTCTTGTTAAACCTCATCCCATTGGCTTCAGCCCAGCTATCCAGCCTGTCCAGATCCCTCTATAGGGCCTCGCTACCCCCAGGCAGATCGACACTTCCAGCCAACTTGGTGTCATAAATGTCTTGGTGTCACTTCAATGTTTTACCAAAGCTATTGCTTTCCTATTGGCCACATTTAAAAGCAAATACTGTGGGTTGTGAAAACTGAACCAGAAAGCTCAACTCACTCTAACTATAGCATAGTTTTCTCATAGCCAATACATTCACTGTCATTTTATAATAGATTTTATGCAATCTCTGATGGCAATATTCACACTCTGTAAATCTCAGCAAACATAACTTCTTGAGAATGCTACCAAAATCACTTTGTTTAACCGTTTATACAGCAACTGTTCTTCCACACACAGAGATCAGTAAGCCAGCTCCTGGTCTAAGATGTCCATACAGCCTTTTACGTTACAGTGGACAAGACAGGAAAGAGGCTTACTTACATAACATAGCATCATTCTAAATTCATTTCTAGAGCTCAGGCATTAATTAGGTACGTTGCATAAGTGTAAAAACAGTAAAGTGATTTCTGGTTCAACTCCAATTTAAATCATTTCTTTGCCTTAAATGAATGAAAAAATATTTCCTGGTGCCTTTTCATATACTGTAATTAAATATGCTCTTGGATGCTCAGTTTATTTCTTAGTGATAAGGAACTCCTATGATTAATGTAATTATCTACATTAACTAGATTATATTTTATTGTGTAATGAATAGCTGCTTATCTCATTACAAAAAAAAGTCCCAACACAGTAAACGGATACTTTTGTAACAGGCTTCTTTCAAAATAATGCAAAAAGAAAGTGTGTTTCTTCATGAAGGCACGATCTTTTGGGGATCAGTTCTCTCTGAATGGGGGAGAATATCTGAACTAATATGCTTCATTAAAAAGCAAAGAACACTACAGGTAAATGCAGTTCCAGATACCTATTTAGTGGTGCTTTTTTCAGCACCAACAATAGTTATTCTAATCAAAAGTCAGAGGAAAAAAATCTATTAAGATGCGAGTATCAGTTTCCAAGAATAATTAAAAAATATGAAACAAACTTATAGTGGAAGAAGGTACAGATTTCTTTCAAATCTTAACATACACTTGACCAGAAAAAAGAAGTCCTTTTCATGTTTAGTAGCTCTTACATCACATGCCATGTACAATTAGGCTTTTTTTTTGTTTGTTTTTTAATAACGTGGGAGCATAGAAGACGAAATTCAAAGACATTTATATTTATTTTAAAAAATTAGTGTCAGAAACATCAGTTCTTTGTGATCCATTCATCCTTCCCTCAAATTCAATATCATAGTTCAATCCACATCTAAACTACCTTTCACTAAAAACAGTTTCTCAGCTAGATTAGGAACTTGATACAGTGCAAATCACCATCATGGATGTAAAGACCCATACATGCATATAAATTTTTTTGTGACGGATACCGCTGCCTCCACAGCACACCATTTGGAGAGAAGGATGCACGTTAGATGTTTTTACACAGAGATGTTTGTCCAGACCACACGCTCCCAACATACAGCAACTGATCATTTCTTATCTAAAGAACTTCTTCCCCAGGTTATTATTATGGTTGGTTTTACTATAACGGAAATACTAGAACATATTTCACAAAACTATACTCTTCTTTTGCTATTCAACTTATTTCATTTTCTCTTATTAAAACAGATAAACAGTTTAGAAACGTTTAATCAACCACTGGTTTTGTAACAAAACTGTCAAAACATCAAGAACTAATAGGGATCACCTCTCTCCACGTTAGACTAAAACAACCAGGAAACAGACAACGTTAAAACCGCATGAGATCAGTGAGGCACACAGCTTGCCATCCCATCAGAGAGTAGAAACTTTGAGAATACACCCAACAGAGCACGGCCATACAGTCAGGTTAGCTATCAGCTGGTTGCGGGGAGCTTTGGGAAAGCAACCAAACCTTTTCTGATCCCTCCACTCTTCTGTTTTCCTAACTTCTCACGAGGCTCATGCATGATGTATGATTCTCACGTATTCATTCATTTAGTTTAAAAGCCTTTTGCCTTCACATCTCCACGTGGGCCGCTCTCCAGAGGACGGCCAGGACCGCACCGCACAACGTGCCTTCCGCCCTCCCCCGGGCTGCTCTTCTTAGCCGAGCTGCTCACAGCACTGCGAACACTCACACTGCGCTGACTCAGCGCACTCTCAGTCCCCACATCAACTTCACGCTTACCGACACCGCGTTTCACCCGTTATTCCCTACCGACGGCCCCGATCTACACAGCGGCAGCATTGTGCCGCGGCAAGAAGCGGAAGGCACCCGCTCCCTCCGCCCGGCTCCCAGCCCGCTTCAGCGACCGCTGCAGAGCCAGGCCGGGTGAGACACGCGGCTCAGGCCCGGAGCACCCCGCACTCCACCGGCTCCCCGGGCCGCCTTGCCGCACTGCTGCTACCTCCGCGGCCCGGCCCGGCCCGGCCCGGCCCGGCGCTCACCCAGGCACACGAAGAGCACAGACTTCGCTTCCCCCGCCGCCATCTTCGCTCGGGCACGACCGCGCGACGCGGGCCTGGCGCGCAGCCGCACCGCCTGGCTTTACGGCCGTAGGCGACCGCGGGTTTTGCCTGTTTTGAGAAAAGACAGTCGAGGCGGAAAAAATATATATGAAATAAATAACTTATTCTTTTTTTAAGGAAACCCTGAAAAAACTACACGGCACGAATACGCGCGCTGGGAGGCGGGCGGGCGAGCGGGCGATCGCTGCGGGCAGGCGGTGGAGGGCCGTCTCAGCCCCGCCCGCCTCACCTGCCGCAGGTGTGCCGCTCGGCGGGGCCGCCCCAGCGCTGAGTAGAGCGGGGCGAGGCCGGGGCCGGCAGCAGTGAGTATCCGTGGGGTGGGCGCTGCACCGAACCCTCGTGCCGGGCAGCGAGCCCCCGGGCCGGTTGGAGGGTCGGGGAGTGCCGGGCGGCACCAAGGGCTGCGGCCGTTCATTGGGTGTTGAGAAGTTTGGGGTTTTTTGCGATTAGAGTGGTGAGGGACTGGAGCGGGCTGCCCTGAGCGGTGCTGCGTGCTCCGGCCCTGCAGACACCCAGGTCAGGCTGGGTGGGACTGTGAGCACCTGATCTGGCTGTAGGTGTCCCTGTTCTTTGCAGGGGCGTCGGACTGGATGGCCTTTAAGGGCCCTTCTAGCTCAAACGATTCTGTGATCCCAGATCAGTTATTGCGTTTCCCACGCACCCAGCACCATGTAGGTGTGAAGAATGCGCAGCGTTGGAGCCAGACGGGGCTGTGACACCGCCTGATTATGGGCGCAGCCTCCTGAGACTGCAGGGCGAGTCTAGCTCTGTGTCCTGCTCACATGTGGCTCTGTCATGTAGCATACGCCAAGCAGCACCTTCTGCCTTTATTTCTGTGTTCTTAAAGTGTCCTGAAGTCTCGAATCAGAAATAGTTTTCTGCCTCCTACCTGTGTACTTGTATTGGTTGGGGGAAAGCTGGGATTGTGCATGGAAGTGAACACTTTGGAGCTGATGGTCTTTGCAGATCCCTTCTGTCTGAACTGTTCCAGAAGGTTTGAGCTATTAGAGAAGTCTCTGGGGAGTCAGAATCACAGCCTTTCAATATATAAAGGGGGGCTGTAAGAAAGAAGGGGACAGGCTCTTTGGCAGATTCTGTTGGGATAGGACAAGAAAAAATAGTTTCAAACTGAAAAAGAGGAGATTTAGATTGGGTATAAGGAAGAAGTTTTTTACTGTAGGTGTGGTGAGGCACTGGAGCAAGTTGCCCAGTGAGGTGGTGGATGCCCTGTCTCTGGAGACACCCATAGTCAGGCTGGATGGGACTCTGAACAACCTGATGTGGGTGTTGGTGTCCCTGTTCACTGCAGGGGAGTTGGACTAGATGACCTTTATTGGGTCCCTTCCAATGTGAACTATGATTCTATGCTTATAGGGAACAGAGATATATGCAGGAAGGGGAAATGAGGGACAGGATGATCATACAATCATGGAATGGCCTGGGTTGAAAAGGACACAATAATCATATAGTTTCAACCTCCCTGCTATGTGCTGCCCAGAGCCACAATTGGATGATGTCCGGTTTGACTGATAGAAGTGCTTTCTGTAGGAAATATCTGGAATATATATTTTGTTAAGGTACCCAAATATATATATTTTTTTCTCCTGGGTTACTACAGTAGCATATGAGGCAGCTGTGCAGTGCACAAAGTGAGGGGAGGTGGGGGGCAGCTGTAGGCTACCAGGTGCTTGTTCCCTCTGTTCTTCTGTCCCTGGTGAGATGGTAAATAGGACAGCATTTGGAATTTTGTTCTTAAAAGCTTTCTTAAAACTTTGTTTTAGTTAAACCTTTGTTGTGTAAAGGTTAATGTACTTTCTTAGAACCTTAGATTGCCTTGAAGTTTATTCTTAGTTATTTAAAATAGAGTTAGCAAAACAAAACTGCTATTCAGTTTGGGCTTTTCCTCTCTAGCATAGCATGCTAAGCCTTGTATTTAACGTGAAGGGAGACAGGCAGAACTGAATTCTTAGCTCTGCTTTAGCTTTGGTTATGCTACTTATCTCGCTTGGTGGGCAGCGCCCAACCCCTCTGGTACTGACTGTTGACACATCAAACATATTACAATAAGTGTGTTTGAAAAACTTGCAAACAGGGCTTCAGTTAGGTGGTTTCCTAAGGCTTGGCTGGCATGGTGAATAGGTGCAGTGATGTTTTGCGCAAAAGCCTGCCATTCTTGTTGCACAAATTCTTAGAAGAGTTCACTTTTTAGTCTTAGAGAACCCTCAAGGTAACTACCTTTGGTGCTTGTTGTAGAGTATTCCACTGCCTCAATATTCTTGAAAATACAGATTTTTTACTGTTTTGGTATAAACTATTGTTTCTTTACCATCTGAAAGGTGAGTCTGTTCTTGTCTTTGGCTGTTTTAAGGATTTGAGGATAGAAGAATTGTTTCATATGTGTGTGACTGACATTTAACACTTTAGATGGAGCATAATTCTTTTTCTGGCTTTTTCCAATGCCTGATCCTTCTGGGTATCCTAAACTGAAAATCTTGGTGTTGACTTGGTGTTGTAGTTCTCATACAATGTCTCCAACTTCAGTGACTAAAATCGATGATAGTTATTGATGCTAAGTTTGAATGAGTATAATGTGTTCAGTGACACTAAAAAGGGTGGGTTTTCTACTGTTGATGGATACTTTATTAGCCTAACATCAATCCTAAACTATTATGCTGAGACATACCACTATGGACAGAGGTGATTTATAGAAGATGATAATTTATACAAACTCTGTACTATATACATACTGTGCATTTTCTTTCTATTCCAATGGTATGTATGTCTGGATAGCATTGTCTCATATTTCACATCTAAGCATTTACTCTGCTAAAACCATGTCGTGGAACATAAACTCTCCTAGCAGCATAGCTTTCTTCTGCTCCTGAGATGAGAAATAGGTCTCATTCTTTGTTGTTTTTAAACATCCTGACAAACCTAATTAGCAGTTGTCACGCTGATTTTTGTTTTGTTTTGTTTTTCCTTTCATTTTCCCCCTTGTATTTTCTGCTTGCCTTGAAACATTAAATCTATTTTGTTTTTAAAATGCTGGGTCAAGATCATCACGCATATCCAAACTACAAACTTGAAGTAGCATACTGTAATTGGTTATCTTTGTTCCAATTTCCCATTTTTAGGAACACATTGAATACCACTTAGCAACTTAGAGAGCTTTTGTATTGATTATGTTTACTAGAAATAACCTTTTCAAATGTAGTGAGACCTGTATTACTTGCGAGAGAATAATATGTGAGTTTATTGGTAGGTGTGTTGATTTCTTCCCCCTGCCCTTTGCATTTATGTTTTTCTCCTGGTGCCAAGATTACAACTCAGCTGAAGTTAGGATTTTAGCATCTTTGCCATTTCTAAGGGGGATTTTTGAAGGCTTTAGCTACAGCTGTTCCTTTGCTGTGCCTCCCATGCAGGTGACCAGCTGTTTTGTATGCTTCACAGAAGAAGTCATCTGACTCACCTGTGCCTCTGGCAGTTAATGACTGTATCCACATACCTCAGTTCCTTAAAGGAACCATAATCTAATTAAAACATCTTACATATACAGAGTAAACACATCTTTCTTTAAAGCGCCTTATTCAGCTATGTCACTATCATCATATTAATCACGTAAATCCCAACTCGCAGCAGGAAGTTCATCCCTTTAGGAGTTGAAAGGAATTAGGAATACTTCGAAGTGACTTCAGTAAAAAAACAAACAAAAACAAACAAACAAAAAAACTGCTGGGGACCAAACTCTTCAAATGCTTTTGATAAATACAACTTGCTACACGTCTTTTTTTTTTTCCCCTAAGTTGTTTGATCTCATAGATTTTCCTTTCTCAAGGAAATAATTAATTCAAAGTGAGGTTGAGGGCTGAGAACCCATAAAATTACCAACTGTTACACTTCCTATTTGGATCAGTTAAGTCCTTTTCGCTTTGAGAGTGGTAATCAAAAATATGCACACGGTGAAAGTGAATGTTTTATTTATGTGTATGCGTTTTTCTAGCATTAACAAAGTGAAGATTCCATATGAAAAAACATTGATCTCCTGTGCTGTTGGAGTACGTACATAACTGATAGCGAAGTCTGAAAAGACTTGTCAATGCTAGCAGGGATTTCAAACTGAAAACCTTGTATTTTGGGCTCCCTGTATGACACTACTCACACTGACGTAATTAACACATATAAATACTTCTACCTATCCAGCATGGGGAGGGGAGAAAGATTATTTACATTAAATGTGATTGTACGAAACCTCTCACAGCTGTGAAGGTGCACATTAGAGTCTTCCAGTCTTAGTCCTGTTCAGCTGCTGCTCTGCAAGGCTGCCTGGTTCCTGCTGGCATACTGGTACTCTGCCTGAGCACAAAGCATTTGTACCAAGCTTGGTGAGGTTTCATACAGCGCTGTATGAATCCAAATGGTAAAGAATGTGATACAAATGCATGGGATCAATAGAAAGGCTTCATTGTACATAGTCTGTTTTCTCCAGCTTTGTTTTCATTGCCTTACACGATGTGTTTTCTGTCATACGTTATCTCCTTTACTGTTCTGTCAGAGGCATCTGGAAAATTCTGCAACATACTCAATTGGTAAGATCTTCACTGTCGCTGATTGCTACTTTCTCCCTGGGACTGCTTCCTTAGAATCCTTCTGCCATACCAGCAGTGCTTTGCAGTAGGATATGTAAGTTCTCTGGCATTTCTCTCTCATGCACTTTGAAGTCTCATGGAAGCAGTAACTGCCTGTCCTTCTTGGCTTCAAAATAAGAAGCATGGAGCTCAGGTGCTGACAGCTGGAGCACAGTGGGTCCCAGCTGAAGGTGGTAATTATTACCTCTGTTGTATTCCATCCTTTTCCTACAGGTTCTTTTTCAGTTTCTACCAACATTTCCTTGAACTTCACAGATATTTTTTTGACATCTATCTAATCTTTACTGTCAATTGTTGGCTTTCAGTGCTGGAAGTATTAAATAAAGGGAGACTGGACAGAGATGCACTTTATAATCTGCTGATTAATACTTGCTAATTGGCTGCTGCTCTAAGTCTAACTCACTTCTTCTTGGGTTAGGCAAAATGAATACAGTGCATGTCTTGCATGCTGCTGAAGGATTTCCACTACCAGATGGATCCCACAGGACTGGAGCAGGCTGCCACAGTATCATGATGTTTCATGTTTATGAAACCAAAATTACATCTTTCTAATTGTAACACTGAGTTGAAATCTCTTGCTTAGGCTCTTCTCCAGCACTGGAAAAGGTCACTGGTCTTGATTTTCAGGTTTCTCAATCCCATAAAGTGTTTGTCTTTAACTGTTCTTGATTATGTTAGTTCTCGTGTTTATGAATGCTTTCAATCATTCTTTGTTCATACTTGCTTTTGGAAGTTGATGCTACTGCTGTAACCTTGCTGTATGCAAATTAGCTGCACTTTAATGTTTTGCTGTTTTTGAACTTCTTAGTGAAGCAAAAGTAAAGACTGAATTGCTGCCCTAGACTTGTGCAAGGTGTTTGCCATTATTTTTTTTCTCGTTGTAATAAAAATGTAAAAACTACTTCTGCAAAAGTACTTCAAAACTCATATATACATGCACAATGCATATGTGAAATATGCATGCTAGTCTTTGTCTCCATTTTGTCATCAGTCTTCTTTGAAACTGTATTTTTGATGTTCAGGTTCTTATAATGCCTCCAAGCTTTATTTCATCTGTTCATATTCAGCAGAATTTTGATTATATCAGAATTAGTTCTAGCTTTTAAGTAAAAAGACTTTATTTATTCCTTATTACACCTTGCTCACATAATTTCACCAAATGTTCAGCCAACACATTATTACTGTTAGTCAGAATGTAAATTAGAGGCTGACGCACTTGTCTCATCAGCTTACAAATTAAGCAGTTAATCAGTTTTGGTGCGATATTCCCCCATGAGGTTTGTGTTGCTGACTCACATATGCTCAGTATCTTCTCCCCTCAACAACAAGCAGCAGTGTAAATGAAGCCTGCTCCCAGCTGAGCATTTGCTGGTCACGGCATTCTGAATCCATCACTCACTGTATCCTCCTGATAGATATTACTGTCTTATTGCTTCTCGTTACCTCTTTCCTGAGCATTGGGTGAATACAAAGCAGACAATTATGTATGCATCCTTAAAGCCAATAGGGGGGACAGCGGTACAGTATTATTCCTTATGTTACTGTGGGATGAACTGAGCATGGAGCTTCTGCTTGCTTCTAAATATTTATACAGTACTTGTAATAAAGAGCACATATTTCTATAACTTCTGTCTTCCAACGAAGTATTGCAGTGTTTAGGTTTTAAGAATTTTACTATTCATATCATAATGTAAGTTTGAGAAGGAAGAGAGCAGCTGAATGAACAGAAATTTTACTTATTTTTGATGTCACAGAAATCCCAGTTATGGTTCTGACTATTTACTCAGCAATTAAAATCAGTGGAATCACGATTTTATTCCTGACTTTCACTGTAGCCTGTAGTCATGGAATTTCAGTTATATTTGGGGGCAAACAAAGTATTCTATAGTACAAACTTCCACATAGTAAAGAGCTATCTTTGGATTGTCTTTGTGTGATTTTCCACTTATTTGTTGTGCTGTTGTTTTGGTTTTGTTTTGTTTTTTAATGAGAAACACTTGGACAAATATTAATAAAACTAATAGACTGTAAGAATGAGGCCTCATCTACGCTATATATTTAACCATTAAACATAATGTTTTGTAGGTTAATTGTTGTCCATGCCTGTATTTTGTCTTGAATTCTATCAACAAAATTTTGAGTGTGTCGTAGCCTAAGAGGGAGAGCCAGTTCTCCTTCTTCCCCCAGCGTTCTTTGGCTGTGGCACTGCAGCCTGGTATGAGCAACTTTATCAAAACAGGAGTCCAGCCACACTTAGTCAAGCATCATATTATCCATAGTTAAGGTCAGGGTGTGGATTTATTGGTCGTCTTTTTAAAGAAGTCATCATTTCCTTCAGATCCAAGGGTCACTCTGACTAACTCTGGGTTTTAAGCACTGAAAGCGTTTAATAAGCTGGCTTATTGATTAAAACTTTTCTGTGCTTTGCTTCCTTGCCAAAAGAAAAGTCCTTTAAATTTTGTATCTCCCAATGTCCAAATTAAAGTCTGGATGTAAATCATCTCATTTATAGTCCTCCTCTGTAAGATCCAGCTCTTCAGCTGACAGCAAGTTCATCCTTTTCCTTTCTTCCTCTCGGACTCTAGTGTGATCTAGGAGTCCCTCAGGCCACTTCTAACAGTGCATTATGCTGACTCCATGGGCACAGTTCTGGCTGAATGTTTTTAAACCCTCCTGATATTTCTCTGTCCAGAAAAATAGTCCTGTGTTACTCCAGTCTGTAGCAAGGCAGAAAAAAGCAAAGAATGATGCGTGCTTGAATTGTTGTAGATACTCAGAGGTTGCAGAAGCAATATCGATGTATGCAACAAATGTATAGGCGGACAGTGATGGTTCTCTTGTTTTTTTGAGAGTGGGAATAAAGTTCATTCTTGTACTTACTGTTACAGGATTTGACTGGATAAATTGACGAGACAGTGAGGTAGTAGCAGTATTACTTTTGCTGGCTCATGAAGTTCAGCTTCAGATAGTCTTCAATTAAATAATAACTAATAGTAACTCCTATATGAACATGAACACTTTTTTCTGGTAACCGTAATATCTCTCTGAAGCAATTCTGAATCTGAAACTGTGTGGAAAACTGGAAGTGATTTTTTTTCTTCTTTTTTAAACTTTCATTTGCAGACTTTTAGATCTGAGGACATCCTGTTTCTTGTCAATAGAGGTGCATGGGGGAGGATTAAAGAGAAATATTTCTCTTCTAATATGTTTGAAATATGAGTGTGTTTGGTGTTTTTTTTTCCCTCATAGAAGTAACAAGAAACAGACTGGAGATGTTCCTACAAAATCTAAGATTGGCCAGAGAGAAAGTGATGGAGTGAATGTGTATAAAGAACTGTAAATGGAGCAAAGAAGTTATTTTTATTTCCCTACAGTCTAAAAGCTAGATATTGCTTGCTTTTGCTTCATCAGGTTTTTCTTTTCCAGATGTCAGTGCACACACGTTAGTGTCATAAAAGCTTGATGACTTTGCTAAGAGTCCTACATGGCCACACATGCAACTGTCCATTTTACCACTGTTAAAATGAAGCACGTCTCTATTTAATTTTTGTTGTTGAATAAGATTAAAATACCATGAAATGTAATGTGTATCTTATGAAGATTAAGTAAAATCAAGATCTCTGAACTTAAAAAAAAAATGCACCACATGCAGAAGTGTTCACCTGATTATTCAAATGGACATGCACTGTACTGCAACGTTACTTATGAATTATAACTTACAGTATGCAAAAATTGTTATTTTTTATTTCATAGGAGGAATGGTGGTGTAATATGCTTTTCATAACTGACTCTGTTTTCTTTCTACAAAATCAAAAATCCTGTTTTTCTCTTACAACATGCTTGTACTATTTCACCTCTGCCCTTGAAATTGTAATGTCAGGTGCAAACAGCAGAAGTAATGGAGACATTTGCTTTAATCTAGTTTGTTGATCTACCAAAAGCAATTATCCTTTTACATTTTGCTGAGGCTGAGCTGCACTCTCTTGCTGTGGTCGGTACAGCCGGTTCCAGCCAGGTGAGCCAGGGAAGACGCAATCGTGCTCAACTCCTGCAAACATAGGCATAGGCTTTCAGTGCCATAGCATCCTGAGAGAACTGCACGTTCGACTGTTTTTTTCTGAACGTCCTAGGTTCTTAGGGTTTAGACCTTCACTTTGTGTCCCTCAGCACATGAAGACTGCACCTTTGTCCTAACTTTCTGAATACAAACAGAAGAGGTTAGAAGACGAGATTTGCATGTCTTCCATCTGCTATCACAGTGCAGAATAGTCTGTTGCATTCCATGCATCTGTTTCCCTATATTCCCAGAGAGTGCTATTTTTGCACAGCATTGTGGTGATTTCTGTACCTTAAAACTCTCAATTTTCACCAAAATCAGGTGTTGCTACAAGGTTTTGCAGAGCAAGTTACTTCAGAATCTCAGCTGTCAAAATCTCTGTCATTGTGAACCAAGGGATGTTTTTTTGTGGTAAAAGAGGGCTTATAAAAGCCTAGGAAAGTAACATGATCAAATTTTTTAGTTGAATGTCTGATTGCAACCCTGTGCATTCCATTTGAAAATTTGCAGGGAATGTATTTATGTAGTTCCATCTGAAAATGGATCTACAGATAGACAAAAACAGTGGATGGTTTTTTTCAGCAATCTCAAAGCCTGTTCTCAAATTGCCCCCACACGGTTAGAACAGTGGAAGCACTATTTAAAAACATATCACAGAACTAAATAAAAACATATTGCAAATAATTTAATTATTATTTTATTATTGTCATAGTAGATAAGCAGTTCATTTTCTAGTCAGGAAAGACTGCCAACTTGCCACTGAGTGCTTCACTTAATAGGAGCAGACTTGTTCTCCAGGTTTCACTGACTTAATCTCAAAATGTATTTAGTCTTTTCACCTCCATAGCTTTGAGTGGGAATGTCACCCAGAGTGAGGAGGTGAGTGAATGTTGGGGAATACCAAGTGAAAAAAACTAGATCACTGTTGACTGCTAGTTGCTTTTCTACAGAGTTGTTTAATTTTCTTTTTTATGCTTTTTTGAATTGAAGAACAGTGGAATTTTGTTGTGCTATTCTAGCAAGTTCTTTTCAGAGATGAGGCATGATACTAGATGGGTCTTTGGTCCAACATTACATGGATATGTTACTGGAAAACCTTGTTGCTGATAAACTTGCAGGTGGTGGGTATTGATACCTCCAGATGGCAAAACGCTTCAACAGAAATTAGATTGCTAGAGGAAGTCCTCTGGTCTGAAATGGTCCACATTTCCCATAGAGTTACACTGGTTTATTTTTGTGCTGTCCTGAACTGATTATAGTTATTTGTTTCGTGTTTTACAGTGAATAACCCTATACCTTCCAACTTGAAGTCAGAAGCTAAAAAGGCAGCTAAAATATTACGAGAATTTACAGAAATAACTTCCAGAAATGGACCTGATAAAATCATACCTCGTGAGTAAAGGAAATGTTATGATTCAACTAAAACCTCCAGTTCTCCCCTCATCTCTTTATTTATGCCCTCTGTTTTCACTGAGTGTTAACTCAGAAAGGAGTGGAGAATTGGACTGTTGTAACTTCTCTGAAAATATTTTGCAAGTAAAGCTGTTCAGTTTGCTTGGTTATAGGCAGACACTGCTTACTGAGTGAAATCTTTTGCATGTTTATAGACACAGGAAGGCTATCTGCACAGGAAGGCCTCTCTCTGGGCTGTAATGTCTCTCATTCACCGTGTGAATGTCCGTTTGTAAGGAGAACTTTGAATAGTAGTTGTAGATTTTGAATATTTTTTGTTTATTGGAATTACCTAGACAAAAATAAGTTGAATGAAAGAGATCAGGGTGCATTTCTACTTTGATAATGGTTAGACAGTCTTACATGCTTCTGTCTTCCTTATTTTTGCAATTGTTATTCTCTGTTTTGCCTAGGTATTGGTAGCTGTGGCTTTGAATTTATATCTATTATGTTCCAGAAGGTCTGTATTAAGACTTTCAGGATGATGACATTTTACTTGACAAAAGCACTGTCTAATGATGTAAACTGATTAGGCTGATGTGTGTCACTGTGATTTAAATTCAGACTTCAGTCCTCCAAAAATCGGTAGAGTCACGAATGTCAACTATTTACTGCCTGATTGTCTTACTAAGGGTCCTCACACACAGTATTCATGGCAATAAGCAAGCTAATTTTGTATGAGCTAACTAGATTAACTAGAGCAGTTGTGGAAGTGTAGATCAATGCACCTAGCTTTGTAGTTGACTATGGAGTGGAGATGTCATTATTAGTTCAGTTTTCTTTAAGCTTTTGCTATAATTATTTGACTTCTGTGTGTTCAAATTTGTGAAACGCAGAATTTTATTTTCCCTTTCCTTTGAACCTTTTGAATAAATGATTTTGCTGTTTCAGCCCATGTGATAGCTAAAGCCAAAGGCCTTGCAGTTTTGTCTGTTATCAAAGCTGGATTTTTGGTGACTGCTCGAGGTGGAAGTGGAATTGTATTAGCTCGTCTTCCTAATGGCAGTAAGTAGATGTTTTCCCTTTGTACTTCATGGGAGAATTAAAAGCTTTAAAATACATACACACACACGCGTGTATGCATATGAAAATGTCTGATTGGAAAGCTGTTTTCAGAATTTTATACCTGCTTTTTACTGAATGTTCTCAGTATCTTTGTAGAAAAGGATGAAATATAAAAACTTATAGTTTGAAACTCATGAGGAAAATGAATTATAGCCAGTAATGGACAGTGTATGCCAAATAATTTGTAACATACAGATTTGTTTAAATGAGGATTTGTGTGTCGTGGATTCTTTTTACTGGGATAAACTAGTGTCTTTATATGATTGCATTGTAGTTGTTATGAACATAGTTTTAGGTAATTGCAAGTGATTTGGAACTGTAATAATTAGATGAGCATTTCTTGTAATCTGTGGTAATGCTTTTGTAATTTTTGTTTTGTTTGACAGCCTGGTCTGCTCCTTCTGCAATAGGAATTGCTGGCGTTGGTGGTGGTTTTGAAATTGGAATTGAGGTATAATTTTGCATTTAAAGTACTTGTTGATTTTTTTTTTTCTTTTTTTTTTTTTTTCCCCAAGCAATTAAAGATGTAAATGCTGGTGAGATGGTGAGATTTGTTTTTCAGAGAAGACGAAAGAAAAAAAAAAAACACTTTTTTAAAGTTCACATATACAATCCAAACAGAATGTGGAGTTTTAATCCTGTTAATCTAATTGTTTGGAGAGATTTAAATGAAAATAAGTGATTTAATGGCTGTTTCATTGATTTCTTAGAGAAGACAGAAATCTTCACTTACGGAGAAAATTCAAGTCAGAGTTCCTATGTAAGACAGAATTAACTAAAAGTATACTATATTTAATAGTTTATCAAATGCTTTGTTGAGCACAAGGACTCCATCTAGCAATAAACAGTGAAAGTAACTGAAGGTATAGAATGCCACTATACTTCGTGCATTCCTTATTCAAACTGTGATTCTTGACTTCAACCTTCAGTGTAAGAGCAGCACCAAAACTGATGGTACTTACTCTGGAAGCTCGCTACAGAAAATAAAAGATTTTCCATCCAGAAGAAACAGTTAAATGAGGAATTTTCAGCACATCCAAGGAGGAGCCCTGTTGATCTGAACTCTGATCATCCACTGCTGCTGCTTTTGTCTTGCAGCTTGTTCACCATTATTTATTGCCATGTCTTCCTCTTTCCTGCCCTGGTTTCTAGTCCTATTCTTCCATTTTCTTTGTTTAGCTTCTCTTCCACTGATTCCTAAATAAAATCAAATGTAATAGTGTACTGCCAACAAGATCTTTTGCTTTGAGAATTCTGCTCTTCTTCTGAAGAATCCATGCAAAATTGGTTTGGATGTAGACTGAGTGTGTCCTGCAGTTATCCCTCTCCTGTCAGCTGGTCACCTGGTACTCATATAATGAGTAACTGAGTATTTTTTTATATCCTCATAGTTCAGTATGTGATCTCAGATATTATTATGGTGCACTTTTTAAAAGATGCTTTGAATACAAAATGAATAATTTTTGCAAGGGTTTTTCTTTGTTTTTCTTGACTACAAATTTGGAACACATTGCAAAATATTATTTGATGTGCCCCAGGAGATTTTTATTTTGTATTATTTTGTATTTATTTTGTATTTTTTCCTCTAGTGACAGTGAAACAGACTCATTAGATGCCTTGATTAACCTGTGAAAGTTTTCCTGTAATTATCTCCATGTGGTGTATTAGATAATATAACCATTTACTACTGATATTTACTAAAAAGATTTAAATGCACAAGATATTTCCAGGAGAATATGTTTTGCTTTGTTTTTGTTTTTTTTTCTGAGCATTATGCGCTTCGTTTGTAGTCACTTGGTTTACAAAATAGTGTTTCCTTACTTTTAAAGCATAAAGTTAGAGGAGAAATTTAGAAGATAAATAGCTGAACTGCTTAGGAGCCCTGATTCCAATTTCAGCAATGTTTTAGCAGTTTAAAAGCTTAAACCTTGTAGAAATTGCTTGCGTTTTATTCATACAGGAGAAACTGTAGTTAACATAGTCGCGTTTATACTTACGGGTGGCTTTTAACAATAAGAAGGAAGTCACAGATTTCTCTAGTTGTGGTACTAGCATAATGGTTTTCCAAGTGAAAATGTTTGGTACTTCAAATTGAAAATCTGTTTTAAAATTTTAAAATGTTTTCCTTAGAGGTCTTTCTCACAATTAATTCATTTAGCTTTAGCTATGAATTCATCATCTTTATGGGTAAAAAGAGATGGCAGCACCCCTGAATTGTGTTCTCTCTACATCACTGGATGGTTAAAAAACTGTTAATGTCAGACCTTTTGTATGGGATGGGATGGAGGTTATGAGAGGTTAATAACAAAGGCCTCTCTTACACTGTGTTTAATACTCATGGCTAGCACTGTTTTGCAAATGATCTGATATTTCCTCTTGTATTTCCTGCTGTCACTGTTTGGAATTTGGGGTAAGTTGAAAAAAAGTCAACAACATAACAGTCTATTTTATTGAACTCTGAAACACTCTGCTGTACTGGCTTTAACATCAAATTCACCTGTCTTTTTTTTTTTAATACCTGTGTGTTTGACGAGCTTTCAGTTATGATGCCATGATCTTTACAAGAAAAGACTTGACTTTTTTTTCTCTTAAAAAAAATGATAGGATCGTTCTATTGAAACTTATGAAGAGAGCTTTAGTTTTACGGTACTGGTGGCAAAAAAAGCATCTACTGGGTTGTAGTTGAAGTTTTTCTGCATTTTGTATCATAATCCAGACGGTGTTTAAAAAACATTCGTCTTTTTTTCTTATATTTTGCATTTGTGTCTTTCAAAAATACCTTTTCTCTCCAACTATTTCCCTCAATAGTTTCTGGAAGAAACTGGCTACATCTCATAAGTTGAAGTCTTACAGAATGCCAATTTTCTGTCAAGAAAATACAGTTTTGTCAATTATAGGAAAAGCAGTATCCTTTCTGTTGTTCTGTTGGATTTTTTTGTATTATTCTTTGACAGACAAGCAATTTTTGTTTACTGTTTTTTCTTGCTGTTACCATTAATTACTATGGATTTTCTTAATCTGATGTCTCTTCAATTCTGAAAATGCCTTCAAAATTATTTGCAAAAGCTTTATAAAATTAAAAATTGTTGATTAGGAAATTTTAAATCAAAATAGTGTTTCTAATATAACTGTGTTTATTGCATTGAGTAAAAAACTGTGGAACAGGATTTTTAGCTTCCAAACATCTTGTAGAAAAAAGAATTAATTTCATTCAGAAAATTATTCCAAAAGGATTATTTGCAAGAATGGAAGTAATTATCTGAGAGGATGACAGATTCTAGATTGAATTAAAACCTTGATACATTTGGAGCTAGTTTTTCATATGGGGGAGGAAATTTCTTCGATGCTACTGCCTACTTGCCCACCAAGCAGATTTTGCTCCCATGCAGTTCAGACTTTCTTCTTAAAAAGCATGGTACTTTTGTTTGATGTTTTTATAGGTTTCAGACTTAGTAATAATATTGAATCATGAGAGAGCAGTAGAAGCTTTTGCCAAAGGAGGGAATCTTACACTTGGAGGTAATCTGACTGTGGCAATTGGACCTCTGGGAAGGTGAGAGTAAAATCTTATTGTAATATGGATGAGATTTAAATATAGAAGATATTTTTTTCTTAAGCTTTATAAACATTTGCGTGAATTTCTCTAATACCTTAGAAAATAATCTTTGCAAACCTGTATGTTGACTGGACCTTATTGTTTCCGTAGTGTTATATAGTGTTACAGTGTTTTAGTTACTTGTTGCTTTGTCTTTTTGTTGTTGTTGTTGTTGTTCCATGATAAAGGCATCTATTGGTGGAAGGAAGGTTTACTCTTGTTTTTTAAAGCATTGCTTGACTGGGCTCAATAAAGAGCAAATGTACTATAGCAAACTATTATTTTCACTTATCTATGGGCCTGTGTTTTGTTACCAGAGATCTGCCTGGCAATAAGTAAAAGAAATACACAAAGTAATTACTTTTAAAGCTTAAGTGATTAAGCCACCCTACTTTGAAGGACGAGTTGATATAATCACAGAATAATTTAATTTGGAAGGGACCTCTGGAGATCTCTACTCCAGCCTCCTGCTCAAAGCAAGGTTTGTTATGACTGCAGATCAGGTTGCTCACGCCTTTATTCCAAATGGATCACAAAAACCTCTGCCTAGCCATAGGCAATGGGCAATATATTCCACTACTCAGTGAAAAGTTACATCCCTCCACCATGCACCACTTGAAGAGCCTGACATCATATTCTTAATTACCTTAATTGGAAGGCTGCTGATAGGTCCCCTCCTAAGACTTCTCTTTCCCTGTCTAACCAAGCCCAATTCCTCAGCTTCTTCTCTTGGAATATGTCCCTCCTTATACCTTTGTTTTTATGATGAAAGTTTTGCTGATGTTTTGTCATCTCTTCTAAGAAAAAAAAGGATGATGCTTGTTCCTCTGGTGAGATAAATATGTGAACCAAAGGAGGGCAGTGAGTGTTACCTGCATTGCAGGGTATTTGGTATGCTGTCCTGTATACAAAGTGATGGACATAGAGTATACAGAGGAAAATTACATCAGGAAACCTCATGAAATTAAACAAGACTCACCTTATGTGAGTGAATCCTCAGCAGTTGTGTAGATGGGGCCTGCCAGACTGAGCAGCCAACCTACTGGTATCCTGGTAGACTGTAGGCTAAGTCAACAGTGCAAGATGTCTAACAGCATGGGGAGCTGCATCAACAGAACTGTAATCAGAAGATAAGGAAAGTGATTACTCCCCTTTAGCTGGTTGTTCGTAGCTTGTGCCTAGAATATCTGATTTTAGCCCTGCAGTACAAGAAAGATGTCTAACCCTGAGTGCTTCCAATGAAGAGATACTGAGATGGCAGCAGACATGGAGAATGTGAACTGTGAGGCTAGGGAAGCTTCGCATATTTAATCTGGAGGAAAGAAGCCTTTGAGACACCTAGCTGCAGCCTTCTAAGAGGCTGTATTACCACCAGGGGAATTATCAAGACCAATTTTCTGCTCTTTACTGAGGTGCCTGGCAGGATAATGAAAGATAGTATTGTCTAACTGAAGCAAGAGAGGTTCTAAGTGGATCTGAGGGGGGAAAAAATATCTGTGAGAGTGATTGAGCACTGAAATAGGTTGCCTGGTGTATATATGGAGTATTTAAAAACTGGCTATGCAAGACCCAGAGTAAACTGATCTTAATTTGATGTTATACCTGCTTTGAGCGGAAATTTGCACTGTGTAACTACCTGAAGTGTCTTCAAACTTAAAATGCTCTGCACCTGCTATGTGCAGGGCTGTCAACCACTAGAGGAGGCTGCCCAGAGCCACATCCAGCCTGGCTTTGAGTGCCATTACGGATGGAACATCCATAGCCTCCTTGGGCAGCCTGTTCCAGTGTGTCACCACCCTCTGGGTGAAAAACTTCTTCCTAAGATCTAACCTAAACCTCCTCCATCTTAGTTTGAAAACATTTCCCCTTGTCCGATTACTGTCTACCCATGTAAACAGTCATTATGTTGTGAAGCCATATTGAAGACTATGAAGTTTTTTTTTTTTTTTTCTTTCCAGAAATTTAGAAGGGGATGTTGCACTGAGAAGCTCGGCTGCTGTGTATACATATTGCAAATCTCGAGGACTGTTTGCAGGTGTATCTCTGGAAGGAACCTGTTTAATTGAAAGGAAAGAAACCAATCGCAAGTAAGTTCTCTCTGAATCTAGAGGATTCAATAAAGGAACAGTGGTGCAATGAAGTGGGATATGTTCAATTGTAAAAACAGAATGTGTTGTGAGAATGTTCCATGCTGAATTCAGGGTTTCTTCAATGGCAAGGGTTTCTTCAATTTACATAATAGGTATTGTCTAAGTACATATTTAGAAGCTAAATGTTAAGAGACTCAGTGTTTTAGAATATAGTTGTAGAGATATTTACTGTATAATAAAAAACATCCTTTAAAGTGACTTGAAACAAACCAGCTAAACAAACAAAAAAAAGTATGTTTTAGATATCACTGAATTTGAGAGAACAATTTTTGAAGTGCTACTTCTGATGTGCAGCTTATTAAATTTAAAGTACTTAAGGTGCATATGAGTAGGAGGAAATATTTGTAATGATTTTACTATGCTGCAGATCCTAAAATGTCAACCAAATAATTTCAAGAGTTAAAATACAGTAACTGTGAGATGTCTATTGTATTGTATGTTCTATATTTATAAAAACTTTAGTTCTGCTAATATATGCAAAACTACTATGATTTTTAATGACAGCATATCAGCTACTTCCAGATATCTCCTGTCATAAAATTGCCATTCCAATGCATCATTAAGGAATCTGTTAAAACATTTTGTAGAATTAATGTGTATTTCTTTAGTCTATTGTGTGATTGGTTTTCAAATGGTCTGGCTGATGCATGCAGTGTGACCAGTAACAAAATATAACTGGTGAATGACATTTTCAAATAAAGTGGTGGTAGGCATCCAAGTTGGTTGCAGTTATTCATCATTCAAAATTTATCACTAGTTATGCCACTTTAAAATAGCTGGTCAGTAGGAGAAGTCTGGAGAGGAAACACTTTCAGAAGCTGGACTTATCTAGACACTGAAATACAATGGTGATCAAATCCCTGACATCTTTTCTTTGATACCAGGTTCTATGGGCAAGATATACGTGCTAGTGCCATCCTGTTGGGTGATGTTCCTTTTCCTGCTCAAGCAGAAGATCTTTATGAAACTCTAGCATCCTTCACTGAAGTGTATGAAAATGAAGAGCAGAGAAATAATCCAGGAAAAGCTGTAAGGGAAGAAGGAAGGTTTTGTGCAACTCCTTCTCACAGATTTTTTTTCTCTTTGTAAACTGTTTACAGTCAAGGGTAATGGCAATCTTGGTGTTGTGGCATTCACAAGATCTCTGTTGGATGCTTGTGAATGTAACACATAACCAGCAATTCACAGAATCATCACAGAATCATAGAATGCTTTGGGTAGAAAGGGACTTTAAAGACCATCTGGTTGCAACTAGCCTGATATGGACAGGGACACCTTTCTGTGTAATGTGTCCATTCAAATACACTTTTCTGTGTTCTACTGGTGAGCTTTTGTGGACAAGATTGTTGTTGGTTTGGCTTTGTATCATCTAGAAGAACAATATATATGTGCCTTTTTAGAACAGTACATGATCAAATCTGAAGATGATGTTAAAGTTTCTTCAAGCTATTCATAATCAAATAAATAATGGGCATACTATGAGATACTATGAGAAACTATACATACTATGAGATTTTGGAAAGGGTCCAGAGGAGGGCGACTAAGATGATCAGGGGGCTGGAGCACCTCCCCTATGAGGACAGGCTGAGGGAGTTGGGCTTGTTCAGCCTGGAGAAGAGAAGGCTGCGGGGTGACCTCATTGCAGCCTATCAATACCTGAAGGGAACCTACACCCAGGAGGGGAGTAAACTCTTCAAAAGGGCTGACAATAGCAGGACTAGGGGAAATGGATCCAAGTTGAAGGAGGGAAGATTTAGGTTGGATGTTAGGGGGAAGTTCTTTACTAGGAGAGTGGTTAGGCCCTGGAACGGGCTGCCCAGGGAGGTTGTGGATGCCCCGTCCTTGGACGTGTTTAAGGCCAGGTTGGACGGGGTCCTGGGCAACCTGATCTGAATGTGTATGTTTGGTGGCCCTGCTAGGCAGGGGGGTTGGAAGTACATGATCCTTGGGGTCCCTTCCAACCCGGGTGATTCTGTGATTCTGTGATTCTGTGATACTAGGTTTGATGTGAATAATCTTCATGTTTTTCTACTTTTGTCTTCCATTCAGTCACATTTAAAATAATACTGAGAACTATGGAAGATTATTTGTTCAGCTGTTATACTGATATGTAATCATTTAGTTTCATCTTTTTAAAACCCACAGTGAATTTCTCTGTAGTTATGTGTATTCACTAGTTCTATAGTGTACTGTAGTGTTAATACAATTTCAGTGGAGATGCAAATTTTCAGTATAACTTCAGTGCACTTGTAGACTATGAAGTTAAAATTATTTCCGGTTTGACGAAACTTGTTTTAAAGATGTGTACATCTTAGGTAAATGACCCACCTGGTAGACCATCGAGACCCGAACCGCATAAACCTTCTGTTAGGCCAACGCCAGCAGGTTAGAGAATATTTTGATAACGATTAATTTATCTCTTTCTAGAAGTAGAAAGTTAAGACTAATTAAAGTTATGAAGTTATTGCAATAGTAAATGTCTACATAATAATGTTTTTTATGTTCATTCCGAGTGCCATGAGCAATGAAGAGTAAAGAGTTTTTTGTTTCTTTGTGTTATATTAACAAATTTTTCTCTGTGACATATTTTCTATAGAAGTAATATTTGTTTAGTTACAAAAGCAAATAATTGTTCAAAGCATGCTTATTTATTAGATGGATAGAAGGCCCTTGGCTCAGTGATGTTTCTTAAGTAAAAAGTCCTGGTTCTTGAAACTACTGGTTTCTGAAATATTAGTTCTCCTTTAGGTTGTCATGTCTTTAAGTAAGCAGTTCTTACAGTTGAGTGGGGAAAGTTTTGACTCTGTTAACAATTTGTCTACCTTTATATTCACACTGAATACAAGTCAGTATGCAGTTTCTCTTGCCAACTTGATTTATTCCAGTGGATGTAAGACAGGATTTAAGATAGAGCCCTTATTTCTTTCTCCTGTACCGCTCCTTAGATAACTGCAGTCATTTTGGAACTATTGAACATGTATTAGAAAACAAGTGTATGAAGTACAACAATGTATGTTGATATATCGTATAAGTTGCTGCTTAAATTTATCTTTCAGCTAAAAAGAACTCAAACAAGCTTTATCCTGAACTTCCAAGTGATTATGCCTCTCTGAGTAAGTACTGAGCTTACATATTTTATTAGTGCAGTATGAAAGTATTGAAAGTAGTTTGGAAGACGTTATCAACATTTGCCCATTTCTTTATTCTCCATGAGTTAAAATGATATTTCATTGTATATGCGCTCCTGAAAATATTTCATTAATGTGTATCTTATTCCTTGGCTTTATGTTCCAACAAAAATAAGTCTTACAGCAAAAGCTATTTTGTTTTACTCAATGACCTTGAAAAATGCACTGAAAACAGCAAAGTTATTTTACATTGCCACCTAACTGTACTGAAGAAGAAAGCTGATCTAATAAGCTTGTGCCCAAACTCTTATGCATGGTAGTATAACTCCAGTTTTAATTAAGCATTTCCACAGATCGTATCTGATTATGCTTGCAGAAACATAATTTCTCTTGCAGTTATAGTCCTTGAGGTTTTTGTGAGATATCTCTGCATTATACCAAAGATCTATTAGTTGTTGCTGTCATGTTTTAGCCTTCTTAACTGTAAAGCAGGAGCAGTCTGAGCTCTAACAGAGAATCTTACTCTGTAGTATTTGCTGTGTAACTCTTGTGGGGCCCATCAACTGGAAACCTGTGATTCATTAGGGAAAATGTTATGATTGAGCTGGTAATGTTCATGTAGCTGCCATAGTGGTCTCTCCCATCAAATATCCCATCTTTCACAGAGCTAAGACTGCTATTTGAGAGTCAGTGAGGCAAATTACTTGATACAATATATTGTCCTGTTAATAAATAAATGTTTTTGTGGTTTTGGCTGGGATAAAAGCCAAGGCCAAGACATTCTATATTACATGTATGTGTGTGTATGGATATGTAGACGTCTTCACATATTTCATACACCAATATAAAATAAAGTGAAACGATTTCCTTTTTACTTAATCAAACTTGATAACTGATCACAGAAGAGTCTAATTCGGGTAGACTGTTGTCATTTAACACAGTACTTATCCTGTCTTGTGTGAATGCCAAAATCTTAATTGTATTTTTAATCTCTCAATTCATGTAATTACAGATTTTCACTAAAAATGAGGTCAATTATGTGTTATTGTCTTCATAACCTTCCCTGTTATCTTTTCGCCATACATGCTGTTGGGGTATGTGTATGTGTTGATGGGACCAACAAAGCAGGAACTTAGGCTGAGCCATTGATTTATTTCTGCAAATCCCCAAAGTCCTTCTGAGAAGAAAAATTTTCTGTCGTGCTGTAAAGCTTTTCCTGGGAAAAAAAAAAAATGATGTTTTTCCTAGGAAAGAAATACTCAGCAGCTATCATCCAGAAAGAAAAAAAAAAATTGGTCTTCTGGCCAGCTAAAATTTGCAAGTTTTCATAAAACCCTGACCAACTGAGAAGTTTCTTCAGCAACAGGGAAAAAGGTCAAACTTAGATTTGCTACATTAAAACATTAAAAAGAGTGTTCTATTCAACACAAGCGAGAAAGTAAAAATCTTCCATAGCTCATAGTTGATGAGTTTACAGATGACTTGAAATCAAAATGTAGACTGACTCAGTTTGTTACTGAGGATTCCTAAGGATTTCTAAAAATTCACAAAGCTATCTCTAAAGAGCACAAGAGGAAGTGGAATTTTCTGTAGAAAGCACTTTCTTCAAGAAATGTCTTACGGTAAATTTCATTTTTCTTACAAGCTAGATGTGGCTTATTTTGCATTGCATTGCAGGTTCTAATTTCTTTGGTAACAGTTCAAGTGGTGTCTGAATCTACAATTTTTATATTATATATGTTTCTATAGGCTATAAAGGATTGTTCTTACTACAGGGTAAAACGAGGAAGAAGTCAGTTCTCCTCTGTCTGTTAATACAAAAGCCTTAAATGCATAGAATTATAGAATGATTTGGGTTGGAAGGGACCCTAAGGTCATCAGGTTCCAATGCCTTGCCACAGGCAGGGCCACCAGTCTCCAGATCTGGTACAAATGCACATTGATGGGAGTCTGGAAAAGAGTTGCAGTCCCTTTCCCTACAGAAATACAGGGTGTGTTTATGCTGAGTGATGGGGTAAAAACCTCCTTAAAGCCATGGTGCCTGTCAGTAATCTGTTTCTTCCTGTTTGTAGTCCAGATGATTTTAATAATGCTGCCTAGCAGATCTAACTTTTACTATGCAGACTTCATTGGAGGATCAGTGGCTGCAATGGATGTTCCACAGTGATCTGGAACAACACTTAGCATTTCTTGCATCTTTATAATTACATTAAAAAAATGATGCACTTGTTAGATGGCTAATGGAAGAGTGCATGGGACTAATCTTTAAGAAGCTTCATTGTAGGAATAATGGCTAGTTCAGGGTTAGGTTTTGATAATGAGCAACAAACTTTTCTGTGTTGTAACATACTAAGGGAAGTGCCTTTTCATTTTTCTTTTTTTGGGGTTAGGGAAAAGGGTGGTAGGAAGAGTGTGCTTGTTAGAAGTTTTGTCTTTTCAACAGTTATGAAAGTAGAAGAAAGGCTGAAACGTTCACCCATCTCATTAAGTGAAAGGGGAGCTAGACTTACAGATGAGACATTTTTAATTATATTTTATGTAGTTCTGAATTATCTAAAAAGGTTGTATTACATTGCTTATTTCAAACACAAGAACAATGCTAGATGGAAAAACATGTTTTTTCTAAACTGATAGTGTGATACTTGACTGAGATTCAAGTAGAGTGTTTTCATGTAACTCAATAATACTTAATGCATTTAGCTGGAAAATAAGATTCAGAAACACTTTAAAATTTTCCATGCACTCAGAAATATCACACATTTTATTTAAAGAGGAATAATAATTTGCAGAAACCTCTTGCAATTCTGGAAAAAAACATGGCTGAGATTGTGATTCAGTGGAGTAAAGTTTTTACAGTAGTTGAAGAATAGAGGTGTGGTTTTATTTTGTTTTTATTGTTTGCGGTGGGTTTGTTTTGTTTTAAAACTGTTCAGCTAAATTAAATTTCCTTATGTCTATGAAAGTTCTTTGCTCCTACCTTCTAGCATAAGGGACTTGTAGCTTTATGTTTCTGCTTGTCCCATGTATGTTACATACAAATAATAAAAGAGCCGACTGGTCCTTCCAAGTTTTATAAGCAAAATGTAGCTTAGGTTATCTGGATAGAAGGTTTCTGTAGAGTTCTGTACCAGGTCTGTAATTTAAGTGACTCATGGCTCTTCAAGGGACTACTTGAGCATTGTAGAATCAGGATACAAATTTATTTTACTATTACTTTTTTTTTTAAAGAAACTTAAAGTTGTTAGCTTGTCACACTTGAATGATACCTACTCCTAGATGTTAGATTCTTTTTAGAGTGTGTTGTTTTCTCATTATTTCTATTTGGCTTTATGCTACAGAACAGCAGGCAGTCAAAACTGTAAATGAATGGTTTTTTACTTTATCTGGCTGTCATCCAGATTGCTGAATACTGTACAATTCTGAAAACAGTGCAGCCATTTTTCAACTGAACTGGTAGAAGCAGGGAATTTTGGTGAGAACTAAATGATAACAGGAAATTTATTCAGGATCAGAAGTCAATATTTTTGTCACTTTTTCTTCATCTCAGCTAATCTGAAACAAAGACTGGTTCACGTGTATGGAAGAAAATCACTTAAATTGGCCAAGATGCTGAAACTATCAGGAGACAGAATTGAGATAGGACTTGGGATGAGTGTATTATTCTTTTTCCTTAAGGCAACAACAAAAGTTTTCTAAACATTGTTCCTTCACTGTTCATTTGCAGTCATCGTAAGTTAGTATGAAATAGTTCATATCCAAGTTCTGACCTTCTGAATGCATACTTGCTTAGCATTTTGTTCTGCCTCTGCTCAGTAATGTGTTCCCTTTCAGGAACACATTATTGTTTATTGTTGCTGTGCTTTAATAATATATATTTTTTCTACTAACAAAAGTGCTTCCATTTGTAACAGAATAATTACTTTATCATAATCAGGGAACAGCAATTATACTGTGTACATCTTCATGACAGTTGTATGATTTGCTTAAGAAAGTCATGAAAACTTGTGCTCGTGTATCCTAAGTGTTTGAGATTTGGTTAACTGGTGGTTTTGTTTGTTTGGTTTGGTTGGTTGTATTTTTGTTGCTGCTCTTTAACATTTATCTCAGACACATGGGCTTTCTTCCCTTTCGTAAGTACTTGAACCAAATATTTTTAATTTTAACTTTATCTTTGGGAAAATGCGCCCTCTTCTTTTGATTTTTGAGCTGAATAAATGTCTATCTATGATGCTTATTGTGGCTGTATTCACTAGAGCTCTTTCCTGCCCAGAGAGTTTACCTTTCAGACAAATTCTGCTCTAACCGAATCACCTCTTGATCTTTCTTGATCTTTCTTCTGATTGCTAAACAGATTGATGAGCTAAGTCATGTTCTTTTTTCATCTCAAATCTTAAATAGTACTACAAATAGCAAATTCTGAGATGTAAACTCACTGAGATCCGTAGGATTTTGACTTCTAAAGAGCATAATGAATTTAAACCAAACTCTACCCCTTACCTTTTATTAATTTATTTACATCTTTTTGTTTACTGCTAATCCATGTTACAACAGTTGAGGCTGTATCAATCCTTTCTGAGTAGGTGGTACCATGAAGTTTGGCAAACTCAGTTTGTATTTACTAAATCCCTCTCAGAGGTGCTGCTTTTCATTCTTACAGTTCTCCAGAAATCAGGTCTGCTGCAATTCTCTGTAATTTTCAGGGTGATCTCAGTGTATATTTCAATAATCTCTGAATTCCGGCTGGTTGAGTCAGTCTATGAAAATTTGATTGGTGTGACAATTCTAAAAAAGAATTTCATGCCTCCTTAAGCATATTTTGACAAGGAAGTTTTAGGGTCTGTATACAAATTTATTTGTTTTGTTTGCATATTATGGCCTTTTCTGTGGCCAGTTACACGTATGTTAATTAAGCCAAAAAAAAAATTAAATGAGTTAAGAATTAAGAGAATGCTTCTGAGATACAAAGTTAGCAAAATCTGTTCTGC